AGATCGTGGCGCCATCCGTGTCAAAACGCTCAAACTGGTAGCCAAATGTTACCGATCTGGAAATTCACGCGGTTAGACTGTGGCGCCACCCGTGTCAAAACACTCAACCTGGTACCCAAAAGTTATCGACGTAGTAAGTTAGTTCCTAATGGACATTATTGTTTCTGCTACCTGTTGTAGAAAAGTAAGTATAAATTTATGTTAAACACTGTGTAATAAGTGGCAGCACTAAATTATTATTTTGATAACGATTATTAAGGACTACGTCCTTATTATGTTGGTAATTACTGTGTTGATAACGATTTCTACCAATTTGAGCTTCCTGCTGCAGATGGCGCCACAGTCTATCCGTCTGAATTTCCACATCGGTAACATTTGGCTACCAGTTTGAGCGTTTTGACACGGGTGGCGCCACAGTCTATCCGCCTGAACTTCCAGATCGGTAACATTTGGCTACCAGTTTGAGCGTTTTCCCACGGATGGCGCCACAAGTCAAAAGTACAGATTTTACAGCGCAGATAATTCTTGCCGCTGTATACATAGCCTCTTATGACCGAAATGGCATGAATCAATCACGCCTGTTTTCAGTAAATTTTAGATATCAACAATTATGTTAATAGTGAACAATTGTATTGCATACTATATAAGAAAGCTTCCAAATAAGAGAATACTTGTTTATTAAAAATAAAACCTGTCCGTAACGAAAGAGACTCTTAAGTAATAATCATTAAATAAAAAATTTGTGTATTTAAAGCGCTGTAGCAAACTAATAAATTTTAGTCTTTACTTCATCATTATGAAACATTCTTATCGTCAATCGAAAATAGAACATTCTTTTTAATATTTCCAAACAGAAACATTCTATAAGAGTAATATCTAGGTGTATAGATTCATGACCTATTCATCGAATCTTCATTTTTTTCTCAATCAAGAGATACACGACGAATGAAACAGGAAAATATGTTGATCAGCATGTTTTCTTGAACGGATTCTTGGAATAATAAAATAAAATGTGTGATAATCCGGTTCCAATATGATAAGTAACCCAAATGTCCGGTTCCAATATGATAAAGTCATCCAAGATAACATTACGAGACGACAATTTGTTTCAATATTCAGTAAAAATTGGAGGAAACCTTTTAACCGTAACTGTGACACAAAAAGCCTTTCTCGTGGCGTACTAAGACAGCTGACTACACACTGTCTTTCTTATCTGGCACTGTTAACAGGGTCATACTCGCGATTACCATTTGGTAAAATACTGTAGAACTAAACTTCTGCCATTGTAGATTCTACTCAAATCTCCTCACCGTTTCTCCGAAATAAACAAAGTACAGTCATTGGAACAAACTAATGACAACTACGCAGCCAAGATTAATAAACCATACACATTTCATCCATTACATCGATTCCTTGATTATTTAACAACGAACAAACCATATATACAACTTTCAAAATCACAATAATTTTAAAGGAACCCTAATCCTACTTACCATTAGTATTTACAAAATATTCGAAAAAAATCAAATTCATATCAATTCCCTTCGTTAATTAAAGATTAAAGTTTTCTCTAAAAAACGAATTAAAACAACAACGAAAAAAATGGACAAAAACAGGATTGCATAGTGCATCGAATGGAAATAGAAATCGGTTCGATAGAATCTACGAATTTTACGTACAAAACTCGCGCACAGTAGTAATAATTCATCGGTTTGTCCACCGTAGCGCGAATAATTAATGCACGTTATGAAACACCCCGTCTGCCGCCAGTGCAGTGTCTGACATACCGAAGGTTCGCGTACAGTGGTGTATCACGCGGATTCCCGATCGTACGAATTCTTTTCCACCACGTCGTTAAATCTTCCGCGCGTTTCACGCAACATTTCTTTCATATCGTTCCCATTCACGACTCACGGACACAGGAAGAAAACGGAAAGGGAGATTAATGGAGCAGCGACGAGCGAGGCGCAATTAATTCCCGTAGTTCACATGTCGCATAAATCGTAACGGAGGGCAATTATGATACTCTCAATCGTCCGACGGTAGAACTTTAAAGTGTCTCATTCACGTTCGATCCGGGTAAATCAGTGGGATCTTGCAATTCTTCGTAATTCTCCAAAATCCATTACGTTATAAATATTTAATTACATCATCCACGAGTCTCGTGAAATACATTTTTTTTCATCGTCACGAGAAGATACGCGATAATTCCATAAATTCCACGATAGAGGCGCGAATCGATTGACAGGATGGAATTCGAGTAATACACAAGATTCGGGAAGAACATGAAAATTTCGCGACATATAGAAGCAACCGTTATCAGCGTGGACGTTACGTATACGCGAGTCTTATCGATTGCTCCGCGTTTTTCCTCTAATTAAGCGATTCCGCGTGCGAACAGAACGATCGGGCGATCGTGAAATAATTAATCGAACATGGAGCGGCCGCGGGAGCGTTCAACGCTGGTTGTTTAGCTCGAACAAAATATTGTTGTATCTTCATTGTCGCGCCTTTATCACATACGGCCGTGAAAGAAACATCGCGCGCGCATACTCACGTGTCCTCGGTTCGCTCGAACTTACATATATAAACGATGCGTGCATGCTGTACTATGATTAAAACAGAATCCGATGGTGTCGGCATAGTTCGGTCTGTTTACTTTTTTCATGATCGAAGAGCAACGCCGCCCGAAATCCGTGGTGTAGTAGCCAGTGTCGCAGGCCAGTGTGCAAAATGAACGTTTCGTGTGCCGCTCCAATTTTTCGGCATTTCAAGAACGCCGGGAAACTCTTCTACCTGGTGAACCCTTACGAGACGACCTTCGAGTTTCCGCAACAGGTGCCCGACTATCATCAGCAGGTGATTAATATTTCCGATTTATTTCGAGATCTTGTATATCCCCGGGGAATTACATAACTTGGATTACTTAGCGATCCCCCCGTACTTTGCGCCGTTCGTGGAAAGTTAATTAATCGTTTTAGAATCCTGCCCTATTGACCGTTCCATCGATAATATATTCTTTGTTAGATAACATTTGATAGTTTGTATTATGATATCTTCGGATAGACATTTCAGACTTTGCACTCGCGTGAAAAGTTACGATACGCGAGCTCTGATAGACGACAGTGTTTCGAGTAAAGTTGAAAAATGCTTCGGCGTTAGACGAATTTCCCGGAAGTTTGGGAAATTCGAGGAATCTTCGAATCGTTGGTTGTTTGTATTTGAACGGTTTGTTCCGATTCGAACGATGCGGGTTCAACGAGTTTGAAGAGAGGAATGATTTTAAAGCGAAGCTAGCGATTTGCTGTAGATTAGATATTTCTAGACGCTAAGATAAGCTTCACGTTTGCGCAGGTATGGCTCCCGTTCTTCGTTCTTATCATATTGGAGCAGATTGTGTTGATCTCGAAGAAAAAGAAATTTCGTTTGAACGATCAAGTGACGTCGCTGTCCCATTGGTTGTTGCACGAGAGTGGCCGGTAAGCATAGGTAAATGACCGGTGAACGTAGCTTTACATTGTTCAACTGTTATTATCCTTCGACGCCTAAATGATACGTGTAATTCATGAGCGCTCTGTTGATGCTATGCACTCGTGGCATATGCAAATGCACGGAATAATGGGGGGAAGCAGGAAAACTCAGAAATTTACTCGTTTCTGCCGCAGTGATTTACACCCTCGTGAATTTCGCAAACGAAAACGAGAGTTCAGAATTCGCCAATAGCCGTCGTAAATGATAATGCTCGAATGATTCTGTAAAAGGGAAATCAAATGAAAGCAGTTGAATTTGATCTCGGAATTTATGTAAAATCATTTCACATTCTACTTGTATGTATTTTTATAAGTGGTTGCTTGGTTTCTTGATCGAAGAATCGATCAAACCGATTAACAGAAAAAAGAACAATAATGTAATGTAAATGCCAAATTAAAGAAGTATTAACCAGTCAACTGTTTGACGATACTAATTCTTTCATGAATTCTTTATTTTCCCACATAAACATGTGATTCTTCTTTTTCGCTTCGATCTTTCATTAAAATATACTCTACGCGCATTCGTCCTGCGTTCGACGAGTATATGCTCGATTTTTCGATTTTATTGCGCAGAACGTTTTTCCGACTAAATTCCACAGTTAACTGGTTAAAGAAGTATTGTCAAATTAAAGTATACATAATTACGGCCAGGCCACCCACGCATGGCAGCGTCCACGACATCGGTTTAAGTGGCTGGACAATTGGTGCTCGCGTTTAATCACGCGAAATCTATTTTCGCACGGTTGTTTTTCATGTGTATCTTTAGCCGCCGCGCTGCCCCATGTATTTTTATCCCTATACGATAAAAGGAAACGTAAGAATACATACGAGCCAGCGGAATTCCTCGAAAGGCCAAACCAAGTAGCCACGTTCACTCGAAAAATTCGTGTTCCTCGCGGAAGCCTGAGAAATTCTTCCTTGTTCCATTAGCGATCTGTGGAATTCATAATCGGTCGCGAACAATTTAGAAATCAATCGTGGCGATAGTTACAAGATATGGTAATTCCGGTTGATACGGCCTAATCTCGTTTAGATGGTCAAATGTCTGTAATTCCAATTATTTCTAATGATACACTGAATCTTGCATAGATTTATCTCTTCTTCGTGTATACAATTTACTTTCGTAAACATATATTCTGTTATTAGGTATTAATGATATTTACGTTGTGACAATTCTGTTAAAAAAGGTGGGCCATTTTTTCCTGACTTACCCTATCGAAAATGGCTCGAGGATAATCACTCGCGATACTCGAATTATAATCGTTCGATGATTATAATTTAACACGTTGAATGCTCCACGATTTTCAACTGCAGAATATGCGAAATTGGAAGCATATGATATTAAATTATTTAATCGACTCGCGTTATCGTCGCCGTATGTTTATCTAGTTGAATGTCACTGAACCAGCTAATACTATTTATAATATACAAATATTTACAAATAATCATCGTTTAATCACGGAATTTACAGTAATTGAATTTGGGCGTGGGTCACCGGTGACCCCTGTAATATTCAACGTGTTAACCGTTCGAGTGCCACGGGTTTTGCAAAAACCCGGTCGAAAAGTGCCAAGCGGCGCTATGGCGCTCGTTTCAGTTCAGAAACTGAATCGAACCGTTTATTTTGAAAGTGACTTAAGTTTATTCAAAAAAGATTAGAAAACTATTAAAGAATGAAAAGATTATCTAGAATTGTAACTATTATAACGGTCAACTTGCTTCTTTTGAAAAATGGACACGAAATAAACGGCTGAATGACGCTTTTCTATTTTTACGTTAAAAGATTGCAAATAGCGCGATCCGTTTTTCCATTTCTAAGCAGGTAATAACAAAAATAAACAAATAAATAAAGTTCATTTGATTCCAATAACTGATGGCACTTTCACACAATGCAACTAATAAACGCGATCGCGCCGATTGGCACTCAAGCGTTTAACACTAGAACTAGCACTTAATACGAATAATATCGTAATCCCTAGAAAATTCAGAATAATCTATTGTCACAATTTTGACAACCAAACTGAAAATAATCTATTGTCACAGTTTCATCAGACATTCAATATAGTATTCAAATGAGACTGTTCATCTCCAAGATTTCAAAGATTCAATGCGTTCGAGACACTAATAATAACGAGCAAATCAAATAGTTCTAGTGTTAAAGAACAGAGTTTCGAAGGTGAAAGGTGAATTTAATCTTTGCTTTTCTTTTCCGTTCCGATGAACGTTTTCAGTATCTTCTTCCGCAGCGCCGAGTATTATCTGTACATCGTAATTTACGAGAGATACCGCTTCTGGAGTTTACCATGGAGCTCGGCGTGGACTTGGTGCATCACCGCGGTCGGAGTGGATTTTTGTTACTATTGGGTTCACCGCAGTAACCACGGTTAAATTCCTAACCTAACCATGTGTGTGTGGTAGACACAGTCCTTCTAGTTGACGAATTTATGGTGTTTCTCGACCGTTTCCAGAGGTGCACTTTTTATGGGCTCACCATCAAGTACATCACAGCAGCGAGGAGTTCACTCTCGCGGTTGGTCTGCGGCAATCCATATTGCAACACTGGTGTAATTTCGTGAGTATCGCTCGTGTTACCGATTTTATCAACGTATACACGGCCGCATACGGGATTCTGCGGGTTCTGTCTCCTACCGCAACTGGACGCGGATGCAATCGATGCTCTCCCGTGCTATTTACAGATGCATATTCGCGTGTCCCCTTGATCCTAGGAAGATTGAATAAAATTATTATGTATCATCTGTTCTGACACTTCTCACACTATTATAAGATACGATCTGTTGTTTATAATTATTATTTTAACATTTGAACAGTAGAAAAAATGACTTGCTAACGGAAAGTATATTTTAAATGGTCACGTTTCTTTTATTCCTGTTTACAATTATATTTTACGAAGAAATGATTTTTTGAAATTGTTGGCAACTCCTCTTTGTTCATCTTCTTTGTCTGTATTGTTTATGATTACAATATTTTAGATAATAGAATTAATATTTCTATGTTAATAGACAATTTTCAGATGGTTTCTTTTATTCCTGTTTACAATTACATTTCACAAAGAAATGATTTTTTGAAAATTATATGGGTTTGTTGATCTTCTTTGTCTTTACTGTTTACAATTACAATATTCAAGACAGTAGAGTTAATATTTCTATGTTAATAGACAATTTTGAGGCGGTTCCTTTCAATTCCACCGTTTCCAATCCTAACATCTTACAAATGAAAAACGATGCCTCGCTGTTAACAGACAACGCTTCTTCGCAGGTATTTTACTTACCCCTTGCCTTCTTCCTGCCACCGTCGCATTTCATCGTTCACAACCAATTCAACTTGATCTACCAATTATGGATCCACACGACTCTCATCGACGACCTCGGTCCGTTCGAATTAATATTCAATACCCCGAAACATCATCGTGTGCATCACGGTAAAGTATTCAATAAACGAACCGTCGGGACCCAAATGAGATACCAATTAAATTCAATGTATAATCTCAAACGAACTCCGATCCCTAATTACATTCAATAGAAATCGGAACACGATAGAACACGAGCGTAATTGCAGGTTGTAACGTTTCAATCGTGTTCCAGTTAGAAATAACAAAATCAAATTGATCTTTGTAACGTACGATCTCCTGTCGTCCGGTGTGTAGTTTATTTAAGTCGATGTTAAAACGTCCTCGTCCGGACGTAAATTACAGATCGCTTATCCGCGGATTACACATTGACATTTGTTTTGAATTCCTCGCAGGCTGCAATTTGTACTGTCTGGACAAGAATTACGGTGGCGTTCTGATCATATGGGATAAGCTGTTCGGCACGTTCATGGAGGAGAAGGAAAAGGACGAAATAATTTACGGCCTGGTTGTCAGTCCTCAATCGTTTAATCCCCTGTATTTACAGGTGAGCCGCAACACCGACAGCAACGTCGTCTCCGTGTGCGCCTCTCCGTGTAACTGTTCTTTCTTATTAAGCCGTGCATAATATGTCCATCTAACGTGCTCGATCGAACGCACCATCATCCTGTTACATAAACTGTGAATCATTTATGCAGGTGCGAGGCTAAATTGACATTAAATTCAACGCGTCTCGTGAATTTAACGAGGAATCATTCGGCGGTTCGCAACGATCGGTTGTGCTCAGGGATTAAAAAGGTCCCAAAAAATAACCGTTTCAAACTGTTCAACATTGAAACCGACTGAAAGTTACGGGGAACCGAAATAGTTATAACTGTAACCGATATATCGGCTCGGATCCTTCAGAATCGGTATTATACCGGTTCTACATCGATTCTATAACCGTTACCTTTGGCTCTGCATTCTACTATTGTTAATTATTTTGATTTTATCGTCAATACCGAACCTACCAGATTCCTGATTTCTTGTTTTACAATTATTGAAGAGGTAATCAATGCCTGTGGGAAATTACTAAGGAAATTTCCTTCGGTGATGAGCACATTGCATTACGAATCATTCGAAATTGCAATGGATAAATTCTTGGAGGTTCTACGAGAAAATTAAATGAAGTCAATTCAATTGATAGTTTTAGCATAATTGACTATTAACTGATATGTTACTATGTTAATCAATTTATTATTAATTATTTCATTATCTGTAGTTCTCGTTAATGAAAAGTAACAGTTATAGAACCGACATCGATAGCACAAACGATTTCAACTCATGTTTGTTGCATTCAGCGTCAATGTTTATAAAATTAGTTGTATATATTTTCCAGGTATTCTACACCGTGCAGTTGGTGCAGAAGAGTTTGCGCATGCAGTCGTTGACGGACAAATTGGCAGTTTTCTGGAAAGGGCCCAGCTGGTTCCCTGGTGGACCTCGTTTGGGCCTCGACGAGTATAAAATAAATGTAAGTGCAGCTTCCGCGTGAACCCTCGAGTGTTCGTGCTTTTAGGAAGTAATATAGAATAATTGATTGTTGTCACGTTCACGTTCCGTCATCGCGATCGATGCCACTAATTCGATAAATTTACGCGTTGCAACGGAACGCGCGAGCTCTAGTTATGTATCGCGGCTTGATCGAGTAAACCGGTTTGTTTTAATGAAGGGGCTTCTCTATTAGGAGCAGTGCTATCAATAACTATAGATTCCGTCGTCGTATAGATCTATCTTGTAATCTATACGAAAGCTTGACAATCACTAATGATCTGAGCAACTTAAATGAAAACTTGACAACTTAACGGGGACACCACCCAGAAATGTTCTAAACATAGATAAGCTTTAAGTATTTGTTTGTTAATTTTATGAAAACTTCTGATTCTGAATGTATAACTATAACCTGCTTCATATCTATATATTTCCTAAGTTAAAATATTAAAAAATGGCGCAGTTATTTTGTAAAATCAGAAACCTTTTTGGTAACACATTTTTCTGGATAAACAGAAATGTATTATATAAAATGTACCTTACAGATTTTTTGAAATTTTCATTATCATGGAAATGGCAAACATTTGAAGTATAAGAATCTGTTGTTACCCCCACGAATTAGCTTCAAATGTTTATAGAAAATTAAATAATTGAGACAATCAGAAGTGTTCACTTAATAGTTATTAACAAGCAAATTCCTAAAGTTCATCTGTGTTCAGGACGTCTCTGGGTGATGCCCCTCTAAAATAGTAATCCTTAGTAATCGAAGCTACTTCTTCTAGGTCACGTCTAGAGTAAAATATGACACGACCGTGCCCAACTGGCAAAATCTATACACGATCGTGCACTTTTGCCTGATTTTGTACGGTCACTTTCAGTTGTACAAAACAGAGGTAAAATTATATTGAGCGTTGGTAACTGTATTCAAGAAAATATATTAAATATATTAATAATATATATAAATTATTATTTAATTTAACACATTGCGTACCGGCTAATTTTCAGAAAACTGAAATGAGATGGCAATTTTCACTGAGGTCAACTTATATCACTATACATAGAAAAACTCAGATATCATATCGTTATGTAATATATTTTAAATAGATAATCAATTCGAATTTTATATTTTTTCCAATGCTGTGGTAATTAGCGAAGTTGCATAACTAAGTGTCTTTATATAAAAACGAGATTTCTCGTTACCGGTACGCAATGTGTTAATAAAGCTATATATTGATATATAATATATTGAATACAGTTAAAGCAATAAACAAAGAAACTGAAGGAATCGTTGTTTCCGTAGGATGCGAAGACACTGTGTTCTGGTTTCACGATTGTCAACGATCTGCTCGTACTGACCACGATCGGGCTGATATTCGACAAATCGAAGTACGCTGGTGTCATCGAACTGACACGATGCCTCGTTTATTTAAGTTATTCAACGGTATATAATTCAATAAATGTATACATATATTGTGCACACGTTGCGTCTTGTTGCGTTTGGATATCATATCTCCTTTGTCAAACGAAATCGAATGCCGCGGCTGCGAAAACGGATTAGAATCCTTTTAACAGGCTACGTGATTTATGTGTTATTGTCTTCTTGCCGCATTAATAACTTACATAATAAATCGTTCGCCGTTTAATGTTATTGTGCGTTTGCCGTGTCCGATAGGGTATCGCGGGTGAAACTGTTCCGACACGCCGAACCGATGGACGCACGTGTTTAATTACTTACCGATCTACGCGTTCTTCAACCCCTTGCCCTATGATTTCTTCCTCAACTCTCATCGACACGACTAATTCGTCGTTAAGAATTTTATTGGAAAAAGAGACGAATCCTAGGCATACTCTATGCCTATGTTTCCTTTCGAGTATAATCATTACAGAAGAATAATTATTGACTTTGACTTCGAATGAACCGAGTAATATTTGTGCTTGTTAAATCATGCTGAAAATCTTCGCCACGAGTCTGACACGCTGTTATAAGGCAAGGGATTAACTGTTAACACGTTGACTGTCGCCGATGACCGAAACTTTGAAATTATTGGAGAATAATTATAACTTCTGAGATAATCTGACGTCAAATAGAAATGTTCGGTAGTCTGAATAACTCGATGATAGTGTAACGAGATACTTTTGTCAACGAATAATTAATAATTCTTCCTGCTTACGTTCGCTGCAGAGAAATCAGTGATATACACGTCGAAGTTCTCGGTGGCAGTGAACGTGTTAACACATTTGCGACCGGCAAATTTGCTTTGCCAATACTTATTGCCGGTGAAAATGAAGGAAACCTTAAGCTAATTGCCGTGAACCTTGACATTAAAGCGGAGAGAAAAATTAGAGTATTGGTTTTGAAATGTTGGTCTTGTACCGATCTTTGCTGTTACTCGAAACCGTTGCTCGAAATGAAGAACTTTCCGTTAAACGGGTCGCTAATGGAAAAGAGCAGAAGAATCGAATATTTAGAAAGTTATTTGAACAGACGCGAGGAGAATGAAACTCGAAAATTATATTTGAAAAGATGAATTCGCGTCGGCGGACGCGAATGAGTTAAAAAAGAAAAAGGAATCGAACGAAAACCGAAACGCGCGCAACGAGTAAAAGGAGATCGAGAGAGAATTGTATTTTGCGTATAAACGTCCCACAAGTATTTATTATCAATAAAGTAAATGGTTTGTATTATTTTATTTCGATTTTTATCTTTATAAAGTGTTCTCGAAGTAAATAAACCGAGAAGTAGCTAATTAAGTAGAGCATCGGCTAAACAAGCAATTGACTAGATCCTCTTCCTCTTCTTCTTTTCTTTTCTTCTCTTTTTATATAATAACAATTCGATCGAGTACGACGCCGTTCGAACAACTTTACAGTGTACACCGATGTCGTTCCAAGTGTTCCACGGAATCGTTCGTTCGCAGTGATCGTCGAGTATTAAGTCAAAACGATGACTTAAACTCATCGTGCTTCAACCCTTTGCACTCGAAACGCGACTTTCAGCTGTGATGTAACAAAATTATCGAATTTCACGTTTACTATTTCAATTCTGCGGTGTAACGTTTCAGTCTACGAAATATTAACGCTGGGACTACCGCGCCCGACAAAATGGCCGGTGTCAGTTTCCTTACTTCGCGATAATCGATATCTTAAAAGTATTAAATATCCAAAACGATTGTAAAAAATATACAAATACTATAATTAATATAGGAAGAAACCTAAAAAAATGTATCGTTACAATTTTCATAAGAATTATATGTTAGTCATATTATACGCTCGGTAGTTCTAGTGTTAATATAAAATAGCTTTGTCCTATGATTTATGTATTTTCGTAGTCGCCTGTGATTTCTATTTATATTAGCTGCAAAGAATGTTATCGATGTTTGGGAAATGATCATTTCCAGTGAAAGATCCGTCGAGTTCAAAAGGTTCACGTGGACCACGACCATGAAACAGGGGAAACACGGAAAAGAGATTCGTCCGAGAAAGCGAACGAATAGAATTCGCCATTCTGGAATAACGAGGGGCGCGCAGTGTCGATAATATTTATTTAAACGTCTCGTCAGCGATGGAATGAAAGGATTGAACGCCGCCTCGCCGTCGACTCCGAGAGCTCGCATACAAAACACGCAGCGGAATGCTCCTATGCATCTTACATTAGAAGTACAGAAATCGTATTCATTCATCGGTTTCCTCTTAAAATCTTAAATATTACAATTCGCGTATAAAATTTTCTATTCAATTAATATAAATTCTGTTTTTTCCCCTCTCTTCTCGTGAACACTTGTAATTAATGATCAACGTATTAATGCTTCGAATCGATAAACATCAACACCTTACGAAAAGCGTTATCCTCCGTGATACGATACGCGACGAAGACAAAAGAGAAGGCGAGAGAATAAAGGAAACAGAGAAACATAGTGAAACGATGAAACGAGAAGAACGATACATCACAACGCATGCCCACCTTTTATGTAACACTGTTATTATACAATTAGAATATACGCGAGTAACATTCGAAATACAATTTTTTTTTTCATCGACTCGTAACCGAAAGAACAAACACGAACAATCG